TCTGATTTGGCCACAGGAGGAATCAGCGTGGAAAAACGAGTTGGGGGTACGAAATTTACCTCGATCGGCGGTCGGAAGTTCCTCCGGTGCGGCGGCAGGCGGCTAGGGTTTGTGGTCTGGTGTGGGGGTTCTATTTATAACCCCTTGCCTTTTGATCTCAGCCGTCCATTTTGTTTTAATTTGGGCCGTCCGTTTTTGATTAAATCTGGGCCGTCCGTGCATTTAAATCTGGACCGTCCGATCACACGCTTGATCTGGGCCGTCTGATCGCGCCCACGCGGATCGCCAACGTGGCCCTTTTTGGAACGACGTGGTTTTGCCACGTGGCAGGTCCCGGTTGGCCGGGACTGCTGACCGGGCCTGCTGACGTGGCTGCCGATGTGGCTTTTTTTTCTCGGTCCGGGCGCTACATATGGATCTTTATAGATTGTTTTTGAAAAATTCATTACGGTAAGTACCAAACAAACGTCTTTGAGTTAAATATATTTAATTAAAGTAAGGGTTTCATTAGTTATTTTTCTGATTTTTACCAATATTTAGTTTTTCGTATTTGTTATTAGTGTGATATTCTTACTAGGTTAGTATAGCTCACTTTTTCATTAACTATTTTATATCAAGAATACCAAGATCCAGATCCCGATCAGTAAGAGGGCTGTGAATAGTTCACCACTAGGACTCCCTTCAAGTGCTAGTGAATGTTGTCATAAAATACTTATTTATTTGTTCTTCTTTTTATTTCTTTAATTACCGTTTGTTTTTTAGAAAAGACATTTTCGTAACCCTATTGGGCATTCTAAATTATTGTGTAAGAAATGTAAACTCTAATTCTATTAATCGCTTCCGCATTTAAATTATAAATTCATTTCTTTTAAGGTTCCGAACCTTTATATAAATAATAAAAATTATATATTCAATGATAAAAATAAATCCAAGTTTACAACACATATTATCTTTATTTAATTATAAAAATAGTAGGTTTGTTTGTTTGTTTCAATCTAGTTTTGAATACTATTTTTTGAATGAATCAATTTCATAAAAGGTTGAGGTATGGGGACACATATATTAACTTAAATATTATGGCCCTCATCTAGATTGAGCGGTGAGAACGATAGAGGGTTATGGCACTCTTGTAGGTTAAGGTATGGGGACGACCGATGTTTATGACGCTCATCTTGGTTGAGGGGGTGAAGAAGGTTGATAATTTATTATGAAAGTATTTCAAATATCTACATGTAGAGGGATCATAAATGATACGGGTATGATGAGTATTGCACAATGAGATATAAAGATGTATGATTTTAATTCCTTAAGCAAAAGGGAGTGATTGATTGATATGTCTGTGGTACTCGGATATGGAATTATTATGATTCGATAATATATTACCATTAAGAATAAAAATTGTATTAAATATGAATTTTGATGCAATTTGATGATATTCATGGGTAGAATGAACTTAAACGAGAGAATCATGTATTTAGCTTAAAAATAAACCAAGTGTACTTTTGTATCTCATACAAATACACATAAAATTTATATCTCGTACAATTAATTTATAACTATATAATATAATTACATAAAGATAGCTTCAAATTTTTGAAATACGACTCTATATTTTACTTTGATATTTTATATTTAAACAATCGAATCACTAATAATCTTTAAACTTCTATACAAAGTCATTTCATATATGTTTACCGACTTTTAAAATCTTAAACTTGAATTATAAATTATTAGTGGTATGTGATTTCAGTTATTTCGATACGAGAATTGAGTTATCATAATTTACACTGTTCAAATCGTAAGTATACTCATTAAAGTCACATACTATAGTAATAAATTACAATCTAAATGCCTCACACGGTATAAAATTACATGTACCTTAATATTACTTGTAACACCTTATATTTAAGTGTCATTCATTTATCTAAACCACTAATATGTAAATATTAAAACTTGAGGTATTAGTAGTATGATTTAAACACTTAATATAAAATTCAATAATTATATATATTTTTAACGTGTGACTGATATATTACAAAAATCAATTATATATATAAGTTAATGAATTTATAATTAATAGAAAGGAAAAAAAAAATTAGGATTGTGGTTGAGATTTTCAAGAATGCATGATTTACTTTTATGATAATATTGTTTATATATATTTTAATTAAAAATATTAAGTATTAATAAAGTAAAAGTATATACATATATTATTATAATATAATTGTTATATTAAGTTTGAGGCATATTTATTAATATAATATGCAACACTTGATAAAAACTAAATGATTTAGTATTTTATTTGTTTAAATAAAATTATTTCATATAATTATTATTTATAATATTGATTAAGATAATAATTATAATTCTGGTTTTCCAAATCCACGTTGATTTTGTGGTACACACGGGAGTATACGGTAGGACCTTGCGCAGGGGATAGTTTCGTCGCTATCGGGTCGGGTCACGGGTGGTAAAAATTTGAAACTCCCCCCGATTTCTCCCACCAAAATTTGACCGCCAGTTTTATTTTCCTGTAAATTTGAAAACACTCGCCTCTTTAAAAACCCTTTCTCCAACTTCTCCCCTTTCCCTTCAATTTCTCTCCGATTCAGTTTTCCACCCTCACAGGTTTCTCTCCGTCTCTTTCCTTTTTCTCCTTCGTTGTACATTATCTTCAACTTCTACGGCTTCTTTCCCTTTAATTCGGTTTTGGTATTTCCTCTTTTCGTTTTGTTTTTTCAAAATTGTTTTCCTCCCGTGGATTTTGTGACAGATCTGGATAATTTTCGTTTCAGCTGTTCGTTCGATTCGGCTGTTTGCTCTTCTTTTTGCATGTTATAATAATTTCCGGCTCTGATGTTTAATTTCTGGTTGATGTACAGAAAAGGAAAGTGAGAAGCAGCAGGTGGAAAAATGGCTGGGAAAGGTGGAAAGGGGCTTTTGGCGGCAAAGACTACTGCAGCAAACAAGGATAAGGACAAAGACAAGGATAAGAAGCGGCCGATTTCTCGCTCATCTCGTGCTGGTATCCAGGTAAATTAGGAAATGCTTCTTTATCTTTTGGTCTCTTAGGTTTATCCCTTCTTGTTGCTTTTCGTAACTGTTTTTGCTTCAGTCGTTGAGATCTGGCTGCAGCTTCCGAGCTGTACATTACTCGATCTGATTATCTGATTAAATCAGTTTGTTCTTATTGATTATCGACCAAATTGTAAAGATTATAATTATCCACGGTGATTTTCGCCTGTTTGAATTCAGTTCCCGGTCGGTCGAATTCATCGGCATCTCAAAGCAAGAGCTTCTGCAAACGGGAGGGTTGGAGCCACGGCTGCTGTTTACTTGGCTTCAATCCTCGAGTACCTGACTGCAGAAGTTCTGGAGCTTGCAGGCAATGCAAGCAAAGATCTGAAAGTGAAGAGAATCACTCCGAGGCATTTGCAGCTGGCCATTAGAGGAGATGAAGAACTTGACACACTCATCAAGGGTACAATTGCTGGAGGTGGTGTGATCCCTCACATCCACAAATCTCTCATCAACAAAACCACCAAAGACTAAGTTAGCTTTCTTAACTGATTATATTTATGCAGTGGCTGTGGTTGAATTTATGTTAGGTTCGTGTCTGTTTAGGCTTGTGGGTATTTGTATATGGGTTTAACTTCGTAGGCTTGGTTTCCTGTGAACCACCGTATGTTGGATAGTTTTAACTCTGTCAGTGCTATTTATTGTTATTATTCAAAACTGTTTAGTATGATATCATCTCTGCAACTCGTCACTTGCCATGGTTAGGATCAAACTTTTTTCTTCTGCTCTAATGGGAATTTTGGCTAGCCCTGATGTTTATGTATTTGCTTGGGATTTTCTCTACCTGATTTTATTCATATGATAAGAGAAGAGAACCTGACATTGGAAATAGAGCTGTTTGTTTTGTAAGTTTGTTTTTTTTAATGATTTCCCAGTGGGGCTTGTAAGTTTTGAACCTACGCCCTCATGATAATATTTAAAATGGAGTTGTTTGTAAGAACATTACATTAAAATTAACCTAATTATACACATATTAGTTTATAATACATTTATAAATTAATAAATTTGATATATTATTAATAAAATCTTTTAATTAAAAAATAAAAATTTTAGTTATTAGATTATCATGTTGTTGGTAACATCTTAAAAATTTTCTGACTTAATTATCATTTTATTTTGTGTTTTCCATTATTATATAATCTATGTTATATATATAATATATATATATATATTAGAATGAAATTCATGTACATTTTAAAATGAAAGCTAAAACTTTTCTTGTAATATAATATTGAAATTTTGTGTCACGTGTAAGATTGATTGGAATTGACTTAGTGATGGGATCTAATCTCACAAATTGATATTATTTAATTAGGGAAAAAAAGGAAAAAGCAATTGATTGCAAATAAAATAATGCATGTAATTTTTTTTTTTGGTTTTTAAATGGAGGAAACAGCAAGAAGCTCTACACACCGTCGTGAGTGACTCTGATGTGATTCTCGAGGAAAAATTAAAGGTGCAAGTGGAAGTTTATTATACCATACATAATGTTTCCTTACAGTTGTTTTGGATGAGTTAATGATAAATTAGAGACATGATTAAATATCAAGTATGGTTTTCAATGGTCTACTTATGAAAATATAATTCAAATTTAAGTTTAATAATACCCTTTTTTTTTAATGATTGCTAAAACAATCTTACCCATTATAAATGTAAAGATTCCTGATTATAATTGTATTTCAATTAAAATATTGATAAATTAAGTCTAAAATTTAATTAAATCAAGTATTATAAATTTATTACTATTAATTAAATTTGTAATATTTAAATAAATAATAAAATATTTATTATTAAATCACTATATTGTTAATTAAAAAACCAATATTTTTCAGCACGCAGACATCTCTCAATATTAATTGTAAAAAAGGCAACTTGAGGCCATATTATTTTAGTTAATGGTAATTAAAAATTGAAAGAAATTTACGATTTTACCCTCCCATGTATTCTCTAAGGTTTCTTTTGGATAAAGCTTTTTGATAATTACCACTCAGATGTAAATACCGAGTATCAGCTGCTATTTACACCAGTTTTTAGACTTACCAATAACTTTAATACCTTATTTTAAACAAATTGATTATCATTTTTTACTAATATGTAATTTATTTACCCTAATACAAAATCAAACATATATTTTACATAAGCGAGTTTGTTAGTTCACGTGAATTTTTACCAAGAGAAATACTAAAAATAGAAACGCAACATTTATATGTCTAGACATATTTATATAATTTACCAAAAAATAAGAACAAAAACTACACATATATATATATATATATGTATATGTATATCTGTATGTGTTCTCATAGATTCCTTTTGGAGGTTATAGTATTCTCAGATATATTACATACACACAACACATAATACCAACAAAAAGCATCTCCGAGCTCATGAGAGACTCTCTTTGTCTTAACTGGTGCTAAAGATTCCTCGTAATAATACTCTTTGATATCATCGTCTCCATGCACTCTTAGTTGTTATATTCTATTTCTACTTGTCCCTGTTATACTCTATGCATATTGCTAATTTCGATTATTACCATTCAAATCAAACCGCCAAATCTCCCTTCTCTCACGTCTGGATCAGATATGGAAGCCAAGCTATCCATGCAGGGTATAAGTCCTCTTCCAGCTCTATACGGCAGGCGGCGTATACTCAAACCAAAATGCTCTCCCATTTTTGCCGTTCTTACAAGGCCGGCAGACAAAGTTGCAGAAGCCATAGACAACAGGAATGCAAAGCCTGCAGATTTGAAGACCAGGTCATTAGCGCAACGGACGAGTGTTTATCATGATAACTGGTTTGATCTAATGGCTATTAATCATCTGTCCAAGAGTATTCAAGATTCCACAGGTTCTTATCAGCCACCTCTCTAGTTCTTCTTCTTTCTTTTTCGTTAGTCTTTTTTTTTCCTGTACTATTTTTTATATTCAAAAAGAGAAGAAGAGACCCCAAGACGGGTCAATAAATGGGAAAGATCACCTACTAAAGGAGATGTTAAGATGTGCAGGACTGAGGAGCCTAAAAAGGGGGTATGATAGCTTGGTGGAGGCAGCTGCAATGGTGTCAAGAAATTTCAATCCAAATCAACAACGTGAAGTCGTCGTTCATGCCCTTGAGAGAGCTTTCCCAAGACTGATTCTTTCCATGGCAAGTTGTTAATTTTCACTATTTGTTTAATCTCTTTCACTTCTTAGGATCAAACACAGAAAAACCATGCATACATACATACATATGTAGGAAACAACTGAATGCATGAATTCCATTTCCATTTGTTATATTCACAAGGCTTATTTAATAGCAGAGGTCAACATTTCTGTATATTAATGGAGAAAAATCTCTGGTTAGTCCACCTAAAATGGTGCCATCTACATAGGGTCATAAGCTTCCATTGAAAACAGTAGCCTAATGACAACAACACCATCCTCACCATGACAATTCCTTTGAAATAAATGGGCAAGTTGTTTGTTGCTGCAAGTGCTAGTAAAATAGAGGATCTAACAATTAACTCAACCTTTGTCTGTGCTTCTTAAATAATTCTCTTGCCTAATAATTTTTTCTTAATGTTGGTATTTTGGTGATCACGAGCAGGTAAGAATGTTGCTACCACAATCTAAATTAGGAAGAGAATATTGTGCAGCCTTCACCACTGTATTTTTTGCTTGGCTAGTAGGGCCTTGTGAGGTAAGATGAGTATGTTGATTACCTGGTTTGTCTAATAATATCTTCTTTAATATATTTGCAAATTTGTAATTTAATATCTTGATTTAACAATTATAACGAACATTACTTCACCCACAAAGTATTGGGGATACTGTAGTTATCCTCCTATTAGTTACAAATGAAGAAAAAGCACAGTAAGATATCAAACATCAGACACAATCCCTGATAAAGCAATACCATGCTGTATGGAATAATCGATTAATTTCGTTATGAATAGGAATATCAGATTATCTAGCGATTAGGTAGTTAGGGGAAACAAAAAAACCAATGTAAAGCAAGATTAATATAAAATACCTGCAAATAGGCTTAACTGACATTAAAATGAATGCATTGCTGATTAAGTCTTTCTCTGTTCTTCTCGACGTAGTTCCTCCCTCTTCACCCTTGAGTTCTTAGCCCCAACCTTAAACCCCTTTCATCCCCTGCCTATTCAATCTTTCCTGATTTCTCATACAACATCCCAATGAGGAGACATGGATAGATACAATTTAACAAGGATAGCAGGATACAGTGAGAGACATTATTTAGTGTGCAGAATTCCAACATCATAACACTCATGTTTACATATTTTCTCAAATCAGGATTTTTTTATGCATAGTACAGGATTCACCACCTATAATTGTCAATCTTGGAATTTTTTAAAGTTCAGTACATATGCTTAATATAACAAACTCACACCAAATCATCCTTGAAAGGCGATGCATCCCTCCCCTCCTTGAAAAGCAAGTTTTCTTACTAGAGGAATTATGCATGGGAAAGCTCTCATTTGTCAAGTAAATTACTCAGAATATTTCTTTGGCCACTAATCAACTATATTAATAAGGTAACAGCCAACCTAACCACTATGGAGTGGTATGATTTGTTGAAGCTACTTTCAACTCTTTGAGAGCAACGTATCTAAATGCGTAATAGTGCACTCCAGTTATTTCAAGTAAATTGTAAATGATCTCAACCGGAGTGATCTCAGGTGAGGGAATCGGAGCTCGATGGAAGAATGGAAAAGAATGTAGTGCACATAAAGAAATGCAGGTAACTTTAACATTTTCTTTAAATTTATCCCTACATTGCTAACTCAAAAATAGGGTCCCACTCACCAACTTATGAAATAACCTACTTCAATGATTGTGCTGCTGCTGGACTCTCTTCTTTCTATTGCTTTGTTATCATGACACTCATCATTATCATCAGAATAACCATAATCCCAAAATCATCATTAACATTCCTCTCATCTTAGATCAGCCTTATATCATTCTCTTATATTCTCACTCTAATTTTGCAGGTTTCTAGAGCAGACCAACTGTGTAGGAATGTGCACCAATTTGTGCAAGATACCATCACAAGCCTTCATTAAGGACTCACTGGGTATGCCAGTAAATATGGTCCCTGGTAAGTACACAGAAACCATTAATTGACCATGGTTCAAGTGTGAGAATTCTTCCACACCTTTTGGCATCAATTTGTATTGTTGGTTCTTCAAAATAAATGAAGAAAACCTAAATCTTACACGGCACAAATAGGTTACGATCATATATAGTTAAATCTATTTATACACGAGAAGAATCATGCCTAAAAAAGTTAAACTCGCATAACCTGTTCCTTGGAATAATTTAAACTAGTTTGACAGTGTGAAAATGTTAAATTTGAAATAAGCATACAATAAATAATGACTTATTAAACAAATATAATAAGGTGATATGATCATGATGATGGTGATGACATTAATATTTATTAATTAATTTTTTGTTTATCTTTGTTCAATGATGCATCTTTTAAATTACATCTTCTGTTTATATAGTTTGGAGTAACTTACCTTTTATATGTGATGTTTGTATACTTTAGTATTTTATAATCATAATGTTTTTTGTACTCTTTTAATTGTTTAATAAATAAATAAACCAAACATTTAAACTATAGTGTATTTTTAGTAAATACACATTAACTATTTTATAAAGGGGTTAAATGTATCAAATTGGATTTGAGTTCATTTACTTATTAATCTAGCTTATTCGAAAATAAGTCAAAAAAGGTTTAAATAACTTAATCCATTTAATGAAGATCTGGTTTGAATTTGTAAATGATGCCATGATTTTTAAACAGGGTGAGTTAGGATTGTGGGTATAACAATTAATATGTTCTGTTGACATGACCTTTTTAACCATGAATAACATTTCCTCAAAAAAAAAACAAAAAAAGAAGAGATGAATAACATGAATTGGCAACCTATTGTTAGTCCTGTCTACTTATGGTGGAAACATTCCTATGGCAAAAAATGACATTTTTCTAGAACACAATTTTTGTTATTTTAAGAAGATCCACAAGGTACAACGACAATAGAATGAACTAGTATCAAGTTGTCCCTACAAAGAAAAAATAATCCAAATTTTCTCTTAAAGGAAATATTATGAAAAAATAATTACAAGGACAGAAGAGAAGGAAACAGAATCATTCTCCATTGAATAATAGTACCTGCACTAGAATGTGGAGGCCATGCTCATCATGTCAACAAGGGCCCCATGTATAAACCATTAAGGGAACAAAGCTACATATAAGAAACAAACTGAACATATATCTGAAATAACAATATGAGTAATACCTATATTCCTGCCTGTAAATATACAGATTGATCCCAAGTGCCATATAGCCCCCATGTAGTTGAAAGACACTGAATTCTTCTGCTCTCATGAAGCCAGTCATTCTTCCAAAAAGAGCCTATGTATAATAACACTACAAACATAAAACTCCATCACTAGAGCATCCAGATGACTGATTAGATTTCTATATGATAATCATTTATTGAGAATCCCAAAGTTTTGTTATTTGCATATACCAAAAGTCTATAATTAGTTGAATAGCTGCAATATAACTGCAACTAGAGTTGTTTAATAGACATTGATGATGATCATAATATTTGTTGCAGACTTTGATGATATGAGTTGCGAGATGATATTCGGTCTAGAGCCTCCAGCACCAACTGATGATCCTGCATTCAAGCAACCATGCTACGAATTATGTAAATAAAATAAAAACCTTTTCATTGCATCTGCACATTCATAGCTCATGGTCCATCTCCTCAGTTTATCATTACATGCATAAAGGATAGAATGCTATGCTAGAAAATCCTATATGACCAGTAGTCATCCCCTGAATTGGCGACAAGGGGAGGAGGTGCTGGGTTTTCAAAATTTGCCTCAGCCCACAGACTTTTGAAAGATGAAAATTATTACCAAATGTGAAAATTACGAGTTCTGCTTATAAGCTTGTGGTCATTGTTCATGCAGGCAAAGCAAAGCAAAAGCATAGTACCAGGTGCCCCAATTAATACAGAGGAACAGAGGAGCCTTTGTTTTTCGGATAAGATTCTTCTTTTGTAGTACACCATTTTCAGATGTATCTTCTTCACTATTTATATGAAAAATTGGTACAGCTCTGCCACCTAAATTCAAAGATGACACAGTTGCAATGCTTCAAAAAATAATTTCAACTATATCAAGCATCTATAATCTACAAGGAAACCACAAACTCTGTAGTCAGGACAATAAACAGCTGAGTGAAGAATATTCTTACCCAAACTTGAGCAATAACAAGCACAAGTTCTTACAAGTAGTGGTGAATAGGTAATTATTGATTATGCACCTACTTTTTCCTCTCCAAAGAATTCTATTGCTGCCCGTTTGGTTCACCTCCTATTTAATTCCTAACTAATTCTTACTTCCAATTTTCATATTAGCCTCATATACATAATTATTATAGGATCTTGTCTCTAAATTACACTTCTCCCAAAGAATCTAAGTGGAGGCAGTGGTATCCTAATCATGCATATCATGACTGATGAAACTCAAAACTAGGAATTAGCAAGGAATAAGGAAAATTAACCAAATGGTTCCTTATAATTAATTTCTGAAATTTGATAAACGAGGAACTTTGGTTCTCGGAATTTCAAACTCTAACATGCAGGAAAACAACAAATCTGTGTCTCATCCCATGCTAACATGAGCAAATACACGCAAGCTACCATACAAAAAGTATCCCAGAGAAAACACTGTCATGATATTTTATAAACATAATAGTAAGTACTAATTAGATCACAAGATGAGTTTATTGCCTCTAACTTTATCAAATGGTGTTGTTGTATCCAAGTCTCTCACATGATAGAATGATCTCATCTCACCAAATGAGATGAATGATGCATCCAAATCACAGATAGAGTGTGACATAGAATTTGTAGATCACAGATAAAACTGGTCAACTGTGAGCAACGAAAAAGAGAATACAGGAATATTCAAATAAAACAATATTTGAATTTTAGAAAAATATGAAGATTCTTAAAAATAATTGCAATAATTAGGGGTGAAAGATTTGAATGAGCTCGGCCCTTTCAGGAAGGAATTGACTACCAAGAGATCTATAATAAGTAAGTGTTTATTAATTAGCCATTGAAAGCAAAAAAAAAAAAAGAGAAGAAGAAACTTATTGATATTAGACAGATCCTCACAGGGAAATTCATTTTATTTTTCACCTCACATGGAAATGTTCTAATGATAATTCTAAGAGCAGATCAGTAATTTAGAGGCCTTGTTGAATTTTTGTTGAGGCTCAGGCTAGGAATTAATATTCATGTTTGCTTTAGAGTAATGGCAAAGCCAATTAGCTTACAAGCAGAAAGTATTTAGTGAAGACCAGCTGTAGGGTTTAAGGGCAGCAACGGTGGACCATGAGTGTTCGCCACACTTTATTGTTATAGGTTACAAAGCTATGATTCTTCTCATGTCATTTCTGTCTAAGTGGAGAGGAGTGAGCTGACCCACTTTCAACCATTAAAAAATTCGGCTGATAGTGGAGGCTCCTCATTATAATGTTTTGAAGTTCTTTTCGTATTCAAATAGGGGACAGTATAGTAAGTGGGAGAAAAAGCTGCACTGGAGCATAGCAAGAAGTTATTCATGCTATGAAGATCCTATCTGGGCAGACAGTGTAAAATATGGAAGGAAAATGTCAAGTTTATAAAGACAGGAGAGCAGGAACACCTAGATGACAGAATGTTTGAGTAAGAAGAAATCTGTTTAGACACTGATAAGATGAGAACATACAAAATAAATGAAAACAAAATGCAATCCTTTGTAGGAAGCACTACAAGCAAGTAGTAGCAGCACTAAAAAGCTATTAACAGATAGTCATACACGTGCATTCTCGTGTTCATACCAGGTAAGGTCTTGATTACTAATCTCAATGCCGACTTCAGGGTGATCATTATGGCGCTACATTATTAGCAGTATTTAAATACATCCAAGAATGAGATAGAAGACAAAGAATGAGACTGCACTTGACTAATATTAATAAAGTAAATAGTATTGAGAGCCACTCAACGAGATAATACATAGCAAAGAGACAAACATAGTATGTTGGTTTCCCTTCTTGGCCCATAAAATAGTCAGTTTGAACGGAGTGCATTACATTACAGCTGTAAGTACTCTCAAAAATCAAATTATAAATGACATTTTGCCTGTATTCTAATAAATTTGCAAATATCGGAAATTTTCAGGTTACAGATATCAGTACCACCACGCAAGTTGAAAACAATTAATATAAATTGAGTAGAGATTGTTTGAAATAGACGACCAACTAATGCGTGAACCTCGAGAAGCAAGAACCCTAAGAGAGAATGTAGCTCGAGTTACTCAACAATCCAAAAAATTTTCAGCACCATTGAATACGAGCGAGAATAAAAGACAACTTTCCGATTAAAAATATCTCCAATTCTAAGTTCATAACTTATAGTTGATCATTCTACTCTATTTCTGGAGTTGCTAGTCCCCTAGCCAGTGAAGTATTTTCAACGAAAACCTAAACAGACACAAGAAGCAAAAGACGGAATCTCAAATTTTCAAGACAAAAATAAATATCGGTTTCCAGAGAAGTATTCAATATGTTAATTGAGTACCAGCAACATATGAAGCAGAGATCGCAACAACAGAGAGGATAACAAAGCCCATTCCAATAAGATGTAAGCGAAATCAGAGGAGGAGGAGGAGAAGAGATAAACACTCTTACCTCCTGGATTGCAGGAAGAGAAGACGAATAGGAAACAAGAAGCACAACGCAAAGCCCAAACCGTGAGAATGTTTCGAGAGCAGTAGACAAGTTTCGATCCACAATCACCGACAACAAGACACTCATTGTCCGCCATTGGAAGGCACCGAAGGCGAGGAGCTTGGAGTGTGGCCTGCAAAAGCTTTGGGCCCGCTGGTCCACGCAACCGATGATTTAACAGCAGTAACTGGGCTTGGCTGGCTTGCTCTCAGCTAAGTGGATCGTGGATGAACCTGCAGCTGAAATTTTTCGAGAACCATAACTAAATAAATAAATTTAGGAAGATGGAATTATATTTTATATAGAAATATATTTGATCATCTTAGAAGATTCTGGAAAAATAATTGGTTTTTGTAATCAAAACTCTTCTAATTAATTATTATATTTTTCCAATTTTAAATGCTTGTAGATTTTACATTTTCAATTTCTTTCATAAATAAATTAAATATGCATATGGGTTACTGGACATGCCAGTTTTATGTATCTCATTTGACATCTTCGTATCCGAGAATCAACAAATTCAACTCCGCATTGTTCACAAAATTTCGGGTCTTTTTTTTCATCTCCGATCACTCGATAATTTTCACAAGCGCAGATTCCACTCTTTATAGGTTCAAAAATTCTTTCAGAAAATAATCCATCTTTTTTCGGTTTATTGGTTTTGTAACGAAAAGTATAAGGTTTTGTTGCCTGTCCAACTATCTCTCCATTAGGTAAGATTCTATTGGCCCAAGCACTTATTTATTGAGGAGAAACTAATCCAATTCGGAGTTGTTGATGTTTATACCGATCGATCATAGAAGAAAAATTCTAATTCATTCCGATTAAACTTCCTTCCTATTAATCTGGAAGTTCTTATCAGATACAAGGAAATGATTCAGTTCCAGAGCTAAAGATCATAGTTATCGAATGAGTAATCAAAAGGATTCTGAAGCATTTTCGAGTTTAGGTATTGTTCCCTCAATGATCGTAGTACTTGTTCATACTTTTACAGAATCATTACTGTCTGTAAACAATATACATACATACATACCTACATGCATGCATACATTCATACATACATACATACATACATATATATATAGGAGCATGGGCATGTGGCAATGGCAGTCAATCTGCTAATGCAAAACTTTGGATAAGCTTTCTTTGTTGTGCCCTCTTCATGTGACAAGAAGGCCCTATGTCCTCCCCCACCATCCCCGCCCCCTCCTCTTGCTTAAAAACCTTTGGGAATTTGTATTTTTTGAAATATGTATTTTCAAAAATACTTTAAATATAATTTCAATTTAAATTATCAACTTTATGACAAAAATATTTTGTGATACACCCCAAAATTTCTTAAAATATAAGTTAAATATCACTTTTTTAGCACCTCATTTAGGAAAACTCCATTTTATAGTCTAATACTAAGGAATTTGATCGTACTCCATTATTTGGTCGAGCTCTCAGAGTCAAAATAGATCGTTTTATTTTATCGTGCACTACTCTAAACCTTAAACTCTAAAAGCTTACCCGAGTCAATTTTTAATTTAGTTTAGTTCGAATTTGAAAAATGAGCTCATTGGTTCTTGTCACATGCTATTGAAATGGCTTCTGTCATGGCAGGCAAATAATTAAGAAGCCCTCTCCATTCATGATGTTTGATGTTGGTAGAGGATGAACCCAATCAAAGAACAAATAGGACCCAACCATGTGGATGTATGGGCATCAGCCTATATGTAAAAAAGTACAATGAAA